CTGCAACTTGTACAAGCTCAAAATGTCAATGCCCAACTCAACTCACCGTCATCTTTGACCTTTCCCCGGCTTTTCTTCCTAGTCGTTATGTACTTGCACCGCCGCGATCAAACAAGGCTCGTTTCGTGTCAACACCAATCAATTCATCCGTGTTATCGCCACTCCAACCTGTCGATGTGACCGTGCAATGTCACTCAGTAAAATGCCCTGTCGTGGCCCTGGTGGTGCCTCACCAACTTATTCCTCCGGTACCCAATCGACGGTCTGTGTGAAGACGCTACGGAGCCCTGCCATCTGTGCCAGTAGATCTTTGCGTGTGATTGGTGAATATCCTACAACGGGGCTGGTTGATTTGCATCCAAGGTGGTGTCGCCAAGTCCTTGTCGCACGTAGCTTCACGACGCCGTAATGTTACAGGTGCATCTTGCACGCTTCACAACCAAGACATTTATAAACCCCGACTGTCGTTTACGGGCATTGCACCGTGTCTTTCAACTCGAATGAGTCAACTCATTGGAGTTACTTCGGCGAAATATCGTCACAAGCCGTTGCTCAACGTTTTACGACCGCCTTGTTGGTGCGAAGTCAAGTCAATTTTAGGTTTGAGAGGTTAACCAGACGTCTCGAGTAACCCTACCCCCTCCAGGTGTATCAATCTATATCACATCAAGTCACTCAATGGGCAGACTTCCCCAGTCCATCATTAACCACCAAACAAATTCCAGCACCCATTACCATTCCCAGTTCGCACCCCTTCAGGAATCAAGGGCTGCTTGGGCAGCAGCGATTGCGCGAGCCTCAGAGTTTGATCGTGTGACGCTCTCCCGGGAAGCGATAAGACCCTGCATGAGGATGTACACTGTGGTAATCAGCATTTACACCTTACAGGTCAGAGGGACAACTCACTGATGGGCATCAAGAACACGAAGCCAATGGAGTAAAGAGTAATCGCTTCATCCGACCCAACTTCGTTCTTGTCAAGCCAGAAAAATGGATAGTACTTGGTGACGAGGTGACCAAAGGCCGCCCAACCCAGGTAAGCTGTGGCGGAGAACATGATGCCGATGAGGTGGATTCCGACAGTCTGGTGATATGGTCAGCAAGCTGTTATCGTGACTGAACACCAACCTACCCATGGACGTCGAATGCTGTTGAGAACAAGGATCTCAAACACCATCACCGAAGAACCGAACGCGTACAAGGACAAGATGATGAAGGCACGGAACCATCCCTCGCCAAAGATGTCGGTGACTATTTATGGTCAGTTGAATAACTTGCAATACGAAGATTTCTCTTACATGGAGCAGCAGGCGTCTGTTCGGCATATGGAGCCCAGACGCGCGAAGCGGTGCCGTTGGGAGGTTGAGGCTCTGGTTGAGGTTCGCCGCTGGCATCGTCACTCTTGTGCTGGCGGGTGATGAAGAAGTAGATGGTCGAATTGGCAAAAGCGAAAACAGCAGTGATGGTGTAGAAGAGTGTGAAGTAGAACTGCTTGCGGAGGCTACCCATGTGCTTGGGGAGCGACATTCTTCGGATAAGCCATCCTTCCAAGCCCCCCATGTGCCGATCATGGTGGTGGGGATAGTACAGGTGGGTGAATGTCCAAGACTAGAGAAGTCAGTAACAGCGGAGGCAATCCTCAAGCGAAACTCACGAAGGTCTTGAGCTGGTACAGAAAGACAAAGAACAAACTGATATTGGCAAAGTCAAAGACGATACGCCAATCGGAGAACTCGCTCTTTTCGTGGATCTCGTAATTGAGGACGAGGATCACCACGGCTGTGACAAGCGACAAAACAATTCCACGCAAGATAACGAGTACATTCTGCGGAATGAATGACCACGGGGAGTGAGATGCTCGAAGGAAGGCAGGCTACAAGTGTATCATGTCAGCGAAAAGATGGTCCAAAGCATCGTGGAGATGACTTACATGATCCTGCATCACGTTGGGGCTGGGGAGGCCATCGGCGTTCTGGAGGAGGGGTGCCGAGTCCATCGCGAAGACTCAGCGGAAACGGCAAAGAAGGTGAGGAGGGTGCAGATCGATGATCTAAATGATGCGGTGAAATAAACGATTGCAGTAAGGTGGTGCTGGAGCGAGGAACCGATGAAGCCAAGAAATGTAGGGGATCAGGCGTCGAAGAGGCGATGCTAAACGAGACAAAGATACGCGATGATGAAGTTGGGAAGAAGAGAGATGAGAGGACGAAGCCATCGTGGTAGGTAAGTGTCGGCCAACAGCTGAAGAAAGAAGGTGCTGTGATGTTGGCAGTCAAAACTGGAAAGCGCACGAGCGTCGATGCTAAAAAGAAGGAAGCAAGAGAGAGTGGCCCTCTCGTTTTGGGACCCTAAACTTATGAAGAGTTCAGTATTATGAGCCGAGTCAATCAGCTCGACTTATCGCAATGCTAGTTCTATCGTACACTCATCAATAATACAGCCCATTTATTCCTGCTTGTGTGCTGCGCTCTCATGCCCTTCTCGCTCCATACCCTGGCAGCCGGTAAGTCTACCCGCGACCTCTTCGACCTTTCCATAACCCTTCTCGTGGTTGGGGTCGTTCTGCGCTCGAAGCTCGCCAGCCTTCTTCATATCGGCAAGACCTGCTGCCTTGTCTTGTTCACCAGAGGCCTTCCATGGTTGAGAGCCGGTAATGGCGCCAATGGTAGCCTGGAAGGTGTGAGTGAGATGTCCCAGGGGAGATTGAGAAGGACTTACCTCTGCGGCTCCCTTGACGTATTGGGCGTGGCTGCCGATGAGACCGGGCTGCTGGTTGTTGTTGTCGGCCATTTTGAGTGTAGTGGTTGATGTAAGTGCAGGTGCTTGGGTTCTGGTAAGATCAAAATGCTTGGATCAGTAGAATTTGGAGATTATGAAGAAGAATGTAAACACAAAGAACAAGACCAGCAGACGACCATTTTAAATACCAAGCTCCCTACTCGCCTACAACGCCTATGACATCGATCTCATGCTTCACATGTAGTCATGACATCACCTTCTTTTGAGCATGACACCCCCCGCGTTAGACCATTTATAGCGTCAAGGTCCCTGGAATTATGGGGACGGGGGACCATCTTGATCTAGCACCGCCACAAAACATCAGCCTCAAAACGCCCCAGCTGTTCCAGGCCAGGTGGCCCGTGCTCCTCGAGCTCCCATGAGCCAGATGTCCATTTCGCTCCAGCGCGAAAGTTGCATCGTGGAGTTGTCAAGCTCTACAACAACCTCCTCTCACCCCACGAAACCGATATACAATCCCTCACGATGCTGTCGGCTCTCGGAAACCCGCGGCAAGCTGCTGCGCAGCTCATGAACTTTGCGCTCATCCTCTCTACGGCCTTCATGGTGCGAACGTGTCTTGTCCAACTCCTGGACGAAAGCTAACCAGTCGCAGATGTGGAAAGGCCTCTCCGTTATCAGCGACTCGCCGTCCCCGATCGTCGTCGTTCTATCTGGCTCCATGGAGCCTGCCTTCCAGCGAGGTGACCTTCTCTTCCTCTGGAACCGAAACCTGCTACAGGAGACCGAAATTGGCGAGGTTGTTGTTTACAACGTCAAGGACAAGGACATTCCTATCGTGCACCGAGTTGTACGCAAGTTTGGCAAGGGGTACGTTGTTTGTGCAAGAGTTGTGGGCAATGGCTAATGATGTACAGTGATACCGCTCAGCTTCTCACCAAGGGTGATAACAACCTTTCGGACGATACCGAGCTCTACGCCAAGAACCAGGACTACCTCGTACGAAGTGACATTATTGGAAGCGTTGTGGGATACATGCCATTCGTCGGTTACGTGACGATTCTTCTATCGGAATACCCTTGGCTAAAGACAGTGATGTTGGGATTTATGGGTCTTATGGTGGTTCTACAGCGAGAATAAATGGTGTACGTAGTATGCGACGGGAAGATCTTGAATGTTATATATACAAAACAAGCGCTTGCATTGTCATCGAAGTAGCGCCAAGAGACGATTCGATTGATACCCATTGCATCAATTTCACGAGCATATCGGTGATTTCCCGACAGAGACGAAGGATCTCAATGGACGTTTTGGTGCCAAGGTAGCAGAAGCGATGTAACAATATCACAACATCCGTCAGCCGTCTTGGCCAGGCACTTGACCAAAGGCTAGGCATTAGTTCAGTTTGACTGACTCATTGAAAGGGATACACTACGAGTAGTACAATAGCCCTACTCCGTAAAGAATTGGCATTCAGGTTCGGCGATTTCCTCATGCTGCCCCCTAGTAGGTCTAATCTTAGCTGCAACTAGACCCATACCCAAAGCGGCTAATCTTGAGATTCTTAACGGCGGCCGCCAAGGATGAAAGGAAAATTTCGCTTTAGTTTCTATTGTTAGTCGGTTTTGAAAGATGTTGGTTTCTATTCCCGACAATTCGTGCTTTTGCCAGCATCATGATCCCATCTCGGCCATGGATGTTTTATGTTTTATGCAGCCTCAAATGAAGGACCTGAACAAATATAGAGCCAACACCCAACCCAACCGTGGCTCTAGCAGATTCTGCTCCGGAACCAGAAGAGGCAGCCTTGGTACCATTTGACTCTTGAAATCCCCATTCCGTAGGGCACTCGAACAAATCGCCATTCCCGTAACCGACAAGCCCCTTAGATCACCACGCATGGATCATCACCTCCACTTATCGCGCTACTGCTTGCAGGAAGGCCAATGGGACAAGGGACTAACACGATTTTCCTCCTTGCAAGGCCCAGGGGCTTTGATCCAACGCCTCAATCTCGAATGATGGCCTGGGGGTTTCACAGCTGGAAGCGAGCTAATCGTTCTGTTTTCCTTTAAATAATAAAGTCTGTCTTACCCGCCTTTTCGCACAAGGCTCTTCTTTTTCGTTTCGCTTCGTTTCTGGTCATTCATTCGTTCACTTTTTACACTCGTTATCGCTGTGCGCTATCTTTATTCCCGGGGCTCAAACACGCCGCGTCCTTTCGTTCCATTTTATATATTAAATCCGTCGTATTTCGCACAATGGCGCCTGAATCTTCTACACAAACGGATCCTGCGCCAGCAGCTTCTCCTGCTGTCCCCCCCACCGCGCAACATGCCCCTCAGACGTACGCTCAGCAGCAACAGCAACAGCAGCAACCTGGCTTCCAGCAAGACCCTCGCAGTTATGGACCCCCTTACGCGCCGTACCCGCAACAGCCTGCTCAGCAGCAGTGGACGCCCCCTCGAGTCGCCGAGTCTAAGGCCTGGATGATCACCAAGCTCACACTCCACGGGATCGATATCGTTTGCTGTATTGTTGGACTCGGTCTTACGGGCGCGCTCAGAAGTACTGAAACACTGGGTCTGGTCGCGCTCGGTGCTTGCCCACTTGTACGGTTCTCTAAATCCCTTTATTAGCATGTACTGACAGTCTCTAGTTCGTCGTAGCAATGATCTGGGACATCGCCGAATTGGCCACTCGTTTCGGTCGCAAATGGAAGGCCGGCATTCACCCTGGCGCCCACGTCGCCATCTCCCTCTTCATCTGGCTTGGTGCTGCTATCGTCGGCGGTCTCGAGAGCACTTTCAGCGCATACTATAATGAGTTCGACTACCTCGACGAAGATTGCGAATACAATTCTACACAAGGACGTTACATTTGCACAAGTAGCGACAAAGTTGGTAGCAAACGCACGCTCTTCATTGCACTGTCGGTGTTTACCTGCCTTGTCTGGCTCTGGCACTTCGTCCTGTTCGTCGGTGCCTGTATCGATACTCAGAAGCGAAACGCCGCAATGAGACGACCTGTTACAATGGTGTTCGGAGGACCGGCTTACTGGGGCCCCGGAGCGCAAGGCTTCCAGCAGGTGCCTCAGTATTACGGACCTCCTCAAGGGCAGGGTATCCCCATGCAGAACTGGGCACCACCGCAAATGGGAAATGGCAAGAACCTATGACAGCAACTCAGCCCGCAGCTGGACGTTACGCTTGAGAGGCTGGGTTTTGTCAAATCGGAGACTAATATGAAGAATAATGTAAAATATCTGCGTAAAATGATGCAAAGACAAAAGACAAAAGACAAAAGACAAAAGACTCCTTCTTCCCCTAAAGTATCCTGGAGTCTTCCAAACCTCCCCACCCCATAAGAGGATCGAAGCTGTCAAATCCTGTGCTTCCTAATACGCTTGTTTGCCTGGACGAGGACGCGATCAATTGGCCCCTGGTGCGAATCCCGGTGCGATTCCCACCCTCATTGCCCCAATCTCTTGCCCCTTGAAAGCTTGAACACCTATTAATCATAGATGGTTAGTGCCTGAAACGTGGGGTACCAAGTTTGCACATCTAGGCGCGGACGGCCGCTTGAAAGCTGGACGGTGTAACCAAAGGCAAGACTCACATTTCATGTTTAAGCCGTCGATAGTCAACACCAACTCATAAGGGAACTTCCAGTACAAATTTCTACCATCATCGCAACTAGGGCCCTGGGCCCCCTCATTCTTGACCAGGAACTGCGGGTGTAGTAGATGTACCACATCTGTCTTGAGGGTCCCTATTCTCTGAGCGTCTAAGATGAAATGTCAGTGTTGGTTGATAGAGGCTGGCTGGCTGGCTGGCTCGTGTCTCAGGGCAATACCTTTGTTATGTTCGTGTAGATAACTGTGGTGGTCTAGGTAAGCCTCATCCGATACCCATATCTCGTCTTGGCATATGAAGGGCCCATGGTTGATTGTACCATCGGCGTTCCGGACAGGGAACGTTTGGTAGCGGGGTGCAATTGCTGGAACGATGGTGGGATATCTTGACCCTAGTCGTATTTGTCAGTGACCAATCTTTCTGTGATACAAACAACAAGGGCTTGCTTTCTTCGAAAGCCATTGTATAGCTTCTACATAGAGCTCCTGTGTGTTCTGGCGGCCCTGGATACTCAGTTGTCCCGCATGCTTCGAATCCTCAAAGGGTTCATCGCACCGAGTGCCATAGCTTGAACCTGCGACTCGAGTGGGGCCGTAGAGCTTGTTCAGAGCTTTCAAAACACCCCCGGAGGAAACGGCATCGACTGCTGTGATTCTGTCTTTACTATGAGATTCTGATTACTAGGTAGGGGGAGGGGAGTATCTGACCGCTCATGCTCGTCGGCGACATATAGCTGAGCATTGGAATCGTGGGCAGCGTTGAAGTTTGCCAACGCCTCACGGAGATGACTTCGTAAGGGTGCTGATTCCCCAAAGCCGCCAACCAAGACGACTTTCTAGTTCCTCTTAGTTAAGCCATTTCCAGCAAGCATTAAAGTTACTCACGCCGGTCTTCAGGCCAAGTTGTGCTGTGGCATGCAGCTGCTTCGTCATAAGCATAGACACCTCTTCACATATATGTTGGTAGATGTTCTTCAAGTGTCCACTATCACCATGTTCAGATCAAACTCATACGATGACTGGACTGGCGGCAAGGTACTTACGCCTGGATTGTCAATCGATTAGTACAAGGTCGTTGACTGCCGGGGTCGGACCGAAGCCCGAGGACCTCAAGTTGGTAATCTTGGTTGTTCTGAGAGACAACCCAAACGGGCTTGACATAATGCTCAAAGTCATGGATTGCCAACTTGCAGATGTGGCCTTCTAAGGTTGCGCCGCCCTCGTGCAAATAGTCGTGGTCTGTAAGCAGATTCTCGAGGAGTCTGCGGAATGCATCGTTCAGTGCATTGGAGCCACATGTATCACCCAGAGAAAATATCTGTGTCAGAACACCCACCTGCATGTATAGGCGACTTACCGCTATGATGCACCAGCTGTCTCTCGAGCCGAAGAGGAAAACCGCGAGAGACAATATAGGTTAAGGCATCGCAAGTGCCTCCGCCTGCGTCAAGAATCGTGAAAAACGTCTCCGTCCTATAACTGGTCAGTTTGGTGACATTATTTCAAAGTCAAGAATTTGTTTACGCCAACTATCAAACGATTAGAGAGTAGCCACGTAGCCGCAGCTTCTGGCTCTGTTATCATAAACACTTGAGTGACACAGTCGTTACCGAAGTCAACACCCGGGAAATTGACACGCCTTGCAGCAATAGCAACACAGGCTTGGATATCTCGGAGTGCCTTTTGTCTCCAAATCACTGGGTCACAAATTACTAACTCTGTAGATGTAATATTAGTGCTCCCTGTAATCTCAATCTTGGCGTGACTGAGCAAATTTGTTAGATAGTCAATGGTTACCAAGAGCACCATCTCGTGAATAGAGATCTCCATTGAGCATGAATGATTCTGGGACAGTCGGCGGAGAGTTTCGGCTAGATGGTGGTTCTGAATCTCGTGACTTTCTGATTGATTTATAAGATTCTTAAACCCATACAGCAGAGAGTATGTCTTGTCCGAATGTGACATGACCTTTGCCATATGATGCTGCACTTGGAACCCCAATTGTACCCGGTAATTCTCCGGAAGACTAGTACCTGGTGCTTCGCTCCTTAGCTCATCGAGAGTTTGAAAAACCCAGTCGTTGGGGGTATCGCATCAGCGTCGGGACTTCCAAGGACATCGAATTCCCGCTTTGCATTGAGATCTCATATGGATAATTCCAAACTGTCCTGACGGCCAGATGAGGACTTTCTGGGTGGACTCCTTCAGGTAGAAAAGTGTAAGAGACTGAAGAATTTGTCTCGCCGAAGTCAACAGCAACGACAAGTTTACTTGGGGTTTGAAGGGAAGGCATTGCGGTGGTGTGTGATCAGAGGGAAATGTTTTAGAGAAAGGAAGAAAGGAAGGACGGAAGAATATTTAAAGATAAGCATGGAAGATATGTATGTCGCAGCGATGGCTGCCTTATTCTGTTTGAGACAAGGGAGCAAATGCTGGTTGAGGTACTGTCGTACAGTTTACGCATTGATAATTCACTGGAATCCAGACAACTAAAAACAACCTGTGACATGGCTTGCGCTATCATTTATCTGTAAAGAAAAACTATTATCAATTTTGTGAATATATGCACCTGATACAAACTAAGTAACTTGTTCCATATACCGATAAGAGACCCGAAGGGTACATGCTGTCTCAACCTTACATCTTTGCATAATCTAATTTGCTATTTGCTTTGTTGTCAAAGCTTTTCGTGCCTGGTCAATTAATTCACCGGTTGCTCTTCTAGCGTGGTTGCAGTATACAAGGACTACCTTAAGTACCTAGTGTGCAGATATCCGAAGAGTCCACGACGCGGTGCCCAAGGTACCAAACAAAGAAACGCCACTCGCATTCATCAAACAAAGGAACCAACAACTCGTGTTTGCCAACAAATCCGAAGAAACAGTCACAGGACTCTTTTCAAACGGCACCTTTGCAACTTCACAACTTCACAACCAACTGGATAGACTCATCACGATGGATCCAAATACCCCACGCAGTCTGAAAAGAGCCAGCGAGGGCCCGTACAGGTTGAGAAAAAGGATCAAGGCAATCCAATACGCAGACAACCCCGCAAGTAAGGAACTCAACAAGAAGCGCGTGCCTGGCGTAAGGCAACAAAGGCGGCAGATAATTTGGGAACATGACGAGACCTGCCAGCTTTTAGCTCACCTCCAATGGAGCTTCAACAACGGCGTTGATTTCTGGACTACCGCATTTCCCAAGTTCCAAGACACTGTCCAACAAGCCTTCACCAATGACCAGGCGAAGAAGCAGCTGCAGCATATATCGAGCCAGCATGGCCAGATGGAAGGCGATGATGATTATGCCAACTTGCTTGAATCCGGCCTCGATTCGTTGAACCTACCAGAGGACATCTCCAGGAACGTTGACCAGTTCTTAAACCGTATACCCGACATCAGCGCCGGCCAGTCTGCAGACGACACGCGTGCGAAATGCTGCCTCAAGAGGCTCTTAGTGACTTTCTTGGTCTCTCCAAAGAAATTGAAATATGTGAGTACGACCACAAGTCAATAATGCCACTCATCTCTCATCTCGTGCTCACAAATATCCGGTTATAGATATTGCCGAACGAAGAAGGGGCCAAAACCACGGGCCTGGTTGTTCAAGGCTCCTCCGTAGACCCCGATCAACTAACAGCAGAGCAACAGCCATCCCAAGCTTTATCGGCCCTTGGCTCGACAAACCAACTTGTCGGAAACTCATCCGCAAAGAGGGGTGAACCATCCGTCGAGAGAGGCTTCGTCGATTCTCTAACACCTGATAGAAGAGAAATGGTGGAAATAGAAACCCGGCTGATTGCGTCGTTGATCGAAAATGAGCGGCTCAAGAGAGAGGTGGCGCAACATTACCAACCCAACGCCCGCGTGCTGCTCACACTCCAGCAATATATGGAAAATTCGCACCTAAGGGTCCGACGCAGTAGAACCTTCAACGCCAACAGTCCAGGTATGAGCTCGAAGGAAATCTCAAGAACGTACACATGCCTGTATAGGCAGATGCAAGATACCTGTGCCCATGTATGCCGATATAACCCGGAAGCACCGGACGAACAAGCCTCGCGTAGCGATCTCGTCGAGTCCTGGGCTCTTGATACCTTTAAGTGAAACCTAAAAGATTGCATTTCTCAAGTCAGAGAGTCCAAGATTTCGAAAGACAAGTTGCTCCTGGGACTAGTAGGTACAGCAGTTATCGAAATGATATTCGAGCCGGCTTTCCCAGCATTCATTCAAGCGCTCAACCCCGTGGCAGAAGCATATCGGGAGCTCATCCTCGATATTTGTAAGTGGTTGTAGCATTGAGGAAGACCATGGCTAACTCGCGATGCAGCGGGTCCCAATGAGCTTCATGAAGCAGCCAGCAATGTTCTACCACATCTCCTCAAACATCATAAGCCCGAAATCATTAAAAGAAAGGTTGATGAACTGAACCGTATCCTTCACAAACACTTGGACTTCTTCTCCGTGTCTCTAGATGGCGAAAATGGAGACTAGGAAGAGGCGCCGAGGCAAAATGACGTTTTCAGTTTATTTCTCACATGGGCGCCGCAGTTGAAGATCGACCTCACATCAACCACCACGCGGCTAAAGTTCTTCTACTATGAGCCAGATGAAGCCTTCGACGATACACGTATGGAGCGGTGTATGTTTTCGGACCGTGAAAACAACACCATCAAAGCCTGCTTGTTCCCTCCTCTCTTATACGCACCAGCCCGAGAGGAATCGCAAACTTCAAAAGACTACGCGCTCGAGCACAATACCAATTACAGCATGTACTTCACAAGGATATTCGAGGGAAGTCATCTCGATCTGGACTTGGCGGCAAAGGCCATCGTGCTGACGTAGGGCTGGGTTGGGTTGAGAACAATGCAGAGGGTCCGACGGGAAGATTTTCGCATATTGGGATGAAATTTGTAAACATTATTTTCTTTATTTATCGTCTTGTTGAACCGAAATGTTTCTTTACATGATCATGAGCTTCCTTTTCACAAGTCACAGCCATCCTGGTAAGAAGCAATGCTTGTGAAATTATCAGGAAAACTACAGGCTAAGTTGGGTACCTCGTACTCGATCGCGCTAGAACCATATGTGCCAGGTGTCAAGCCGCCCCCAAACATCTCCAGACAGATATTAGTCAAAGGTCTGTAGGACAGGAGAACTATGAGCAGAGATGTCTCCAGTATATGGATATAGCTATCTCGGCACAAAGCCAAATGTTTCACCGAGCATACTCTCTCGTGAAGGTCTCATACTAACTAGGACCGCGGTGATAGTTCAAGCTGCTGTATTTTAAAGAATGGCTTGCCTACCCCCGATACCGCACAGTTGAGTTGTTGTCCGACTGTACGTTAGCCACAACGTACCGGGATCAGGTGTTGAAGATGTGAAACAAATCAAGACTGGTCAAAATGAGAACCAGTGGACCGACGCGACAGCAAGTTCACACTGGGGGAAGATCAAAGTTGTTTGCATCGTTTGGCACGTCAACAAAGTCGCGCCTTATCTCTCGCCCGGTATTGCACTGAAACTTGACTATATAATATGAGACTTTCTGCTGGAGCAAGATGGGTGCTGAGATGATGCGAGGAAACAAACTTAAGATCAAGTCACACATCGAACTGGGAGTTTCTGCAGAAAGGGAGTATCGTGTTCTCATTCATCACTTGTGTTTGCAGCCTAAAGCTTAACCTTGTAGGTGACAGTCATCCTCATAGCAGAAAGGGCGGCCCCCAAGCAGGTGGAAGCCTGGATATCGTAATAGCTATCCACGCCCCAGTGCTGCAGCTACTTACATCCTACTTACCCGGTATGTGTTAGTAACACGGATCCGACAAGACAATTATACATGACGTCTGACTGAGATGGAGTAAACCACTGGCCAAAGAATTGTGAAGAGTAGGGCTGCGCATCCCCTTGACAGTAGTTCAACGGCCTAAGAATAAGGCACCAGGAGCTAATATGTTAACCTTTTCTGAATGCAAACCCTGTCTAAATGATTGGCTGTTTTACTCATACGTCCGACTAGCCATACTTTCAGGCTCAAGAGTAGGAAGAGTACAAGAAGTCAAATAATCATAATCTGTGTCAAGAAAAGCCAACAAAGCGGCCATTTGTGGTCTGACCCTTGTACCGATCTTCAAAATCTTCATCCGTAGATTTCTAATTCGGTTCTTCAAGGGATCTGTGTTCTGATATCTAGATCCTTGCGTACCCACAGAAACTCATCATTGTGGTGTCTCATTTAGCTCGTTGCTAATGTTGTTTGAAGCATAAAGTTATAATAAGTATTGGAAAGCGATGTGAAAGTTATTTCATAGCCAATGATGGATTGGTAGTTTCCGAACCTTATTACAACAACTATCTATAGGTACCCTAGTGAGTCATGGCAAAATAAGACATGCACGTTCACGAAATCAAGCAGATATAGTGGCCATGTGATATTAGGCTTAGCATCTTGCTTTGAAGCTAGAGGCTTGACCAGTCTTTGACGGGAGTCCGTGAGTGATCAACTCTGTTTTCTCGTCTATTTAAGTAAGTGTCTTCCCCTTCTGCAGAACAGGATAACTCTCTCTCTTCTGTATATCAGTCATTCTGTTCTCTCACATTTCGACCTTTATTTTCATTCGCCACCATGACTAACCAACGCCAACTGGGCAAATCGTGCTTATTTCGTTTCGAAAATACGACGTACAGTATCCCTAGTACTCTCATCACCAAAACTGGAAACCTTGGTTTACTCTTCAAACACAAGGATGAGTGCAAGATGAAAGATGTTGACGAGTCGACTGGTCGCGTCTTTGTGGACTACATAATGTTACAGACCTATGAAGTTGACTACGAGACCGCAGAGCAAGATCAGGACATGGCTTTGAGAGAGTACAAGATTGCACTCACGCTCTGTGCTATCGGATGCCGATATGAAATCAGTGGTCTCGGTTTCCTAGCCAAAGAACATGCCGTCAAATTGGCTGAGCTTATCATCAACCCTGCCTCCGTACTAGTGGCGATAGTTGATGCTCCCTTGGCGTTGAAGCATATTCCTGGCATTATCCACCTGATCGACGAATACACAAAGATAGTCCTGCAGAGGGCGACTAGGCGAGTGGCGACAGACTTTCTCTTGCGCATGGATCCTCCAGACACAATGGGTTGGCTGTGGCTGATGCTCCAGGTCATGCAGAAAGCCGAGGGGCCGGCTCTAGAACGAGGCTGGGATATGGTCGCACAGACACTTCCAACTCGCGTGCCGGGATTGATAGAATATATGCAGCTTCGCGAAGAATATTTACAAGAAAGGGAGCAAACGTATCTTGGAGATGATGCCCCCTTGGAGGATGACGTCGGGGATGACGACGAGGTGCACTTTCAGCCTCTGTTCAATCACTTCATTCCAAGTGCCAAGATCAAGTGCGGAAAAGTCATGCGCGCCATGGTCGGAAGCATCAACAGTAGCCAGAAGTTCGCTACCCGAAACAAGGAGAGGCCAGCCAAGAGGAGCAGGTGCATTTTTATTATCCGTTTTATTTCACCAGATCATTCTGAAGATGATAGAGGCATACAAGCCTCCTCCAAGCATGGATTTCAGCATCTAAGTTCCGGCGACAGTACATACAGCTGGAACTGCTTCCGTCTCTCCTCACATTTGGGAGTGAGACAAGGGATGTAGGATGGGTGTCTACATCGAGCAGCACCCATGCCTTCTTCAGGCTCGACTACCGCATCACACACGCATGAATACATCTCTATAAGCCTTGATGATACTCATTACGGCTCATCTCGGCAGTCATGAAATCTGGAATCAGAGGCGACACAAGAGACAATGTCTTCAGATCATTCTACCATTCTCATCAGAGGTGGGCATGGAGTAACTCGGACACAAAGTCAACCCCGTGATTCAGGACGATGCGTTATACGCACAAAAAAACAGTACCTATCTCTCAATATACAAGGCTGGAAAATATTCTGCATCAATTGAGTACATGGCAATCAAATGTTGGAAAGCGACTTGCGTGAAAAATGTTTTTATGGATATTACTATTAGCGTTATTGAATTCTTGTTTACTGGCAAGCTAGATCTGATAATAATGATGAATTCGATTGGCTTTCTAATATCTTGTATGGCATGTGAAAATGATTGTAATCTGATCGTGACAATTAACCCGGAATGATTGAAGACGCTGTATCCTTGGTCTTGAGTGAAGTTTCAAGCCAGTAAAACGAGAATTGAAGCACCACCCAGGTTCCTGTCGCTACCTAAGTATATAAGGATAGCATCTGCATGTTGTGAGCTTGTGACACCAGCACTGCCAGGCAGAGTTGAGCAGCCTTGTGACACCAAGCCTCCTCCTTGAGCTCCACCAGGGCTAGGACTAAGCGCCACACACCTCACAACTGAAGCCTCGCGAAATCTGCCTCTCCCACTCCCGCATCTCTTCTCCCCTCCATCTCAAATTCCTCTGTTGGTGCACCATCGAAACTCAGCACAACATGGCGGAACATGGCGACACCAGACCAACAAGCTCGTGAGTATTGCTTGTCTGAAATGAAACTTGTTTTAACAGGCGAACAGGCCTTACGCGAGTGGTACCTGTGCTGTTTACTTCGAATGCAAGGGTCCTCTGCACATCTCCCGTTCGTTGCTTCCCGAGAACTTGATGGACGCTGCACAGTTCAGAGACAATGATGATTCTGCTTATCCTCTTTGCGAGTTATGGCTGGACGAGATCACGCCTGACGTAGGTCATGTCATCATTCACTATTTGGTCACAGGTACCTACCAGTGCCTCCAGTCAGAGGAAAAAGATCGCGAGGACAAGATTTCAGCCGAGCTTGCGACTGCTATCCGTGTGTATGTCGCTACTGACAAGCTGTCTTTGACCGAACTCCGCGAAATGACTAGAGACGAGATCGTTCGTCTCGGTGACCAGCTCACCTTGACCCCTCTGATCAACGTCATGGAGAAGGCTGCCCTGTCCTTTGATGAGAACCCAGGAATTGCCACTTATGTCGAATCGCGACTATTGTCCTTCTCTCAAATTGACCACGTCGCAGGCTTAGTCGACCAGAGACTGGCCGCGTTGGGTGCTCCAGACACTCTGAGCAAGGTTCTATTGCGCAGCATTTTGCTTTCCAAGGCTTCAGAAAGTCGTCAGCTGGAAGAGCCAACCTACCAGGCTTCATGGGAGTATCCCGGAGTTGAACTGCGCCCTACCAAACAGGCCATGGAACGGGCCGAAAGTGTTTCACTCAGAAATGCCGAGGCTGCTTCCGATGAAGAAGAACTTGGAAGACTACAGCAGAAGGTGGAGCTCACACCCTGGGATCGTCTGCGACTTTATGATCTTGAGCACAAAGCCGAAAAGAGAGCCAAGGAAATCGCAACCGAGAGAGAGCTAGACGCACAGCGTTGGAATGCAAGCAACTTGACCATTCAACAGCCTCTTCACCCAGAAGGTTAGTAACAGCTTCAAACAAGCTTGAATCGATCACAGTGCTGTAGTTCAAAACCAATGCTAATTGCCGCAGTCTTTGTTGATGGACCCGTCCCCGATCCCCCCCGAGCGCCTTGTGGAACCTGGAAGCCCAAGGCTTTTGAGGGACAGAACCAGTGCGACAATGAGACACACAGCGATCGCAGCTCGACTGATGAGTTCACACCTGGCTCAGTTGAGAGCTCGTCAATGGACGAAGTATGCTGCGATTGGTGATAGGGCTTTCGGGATTCAGGAAACGCAGGATTGCAGAAGGAATGGTAGATTCGAGATCAATGGGATATCATATGGAGAACAGTAACAGGCTGTAATGAAGGGCACCAAAAGCTAGCTTGGAATAAATCAAATCTCCCCTCACTCACAGCTCGCTTGCTATCGTGACTGTCGCGAATCTACTCCACTTGTCATTTGCACCATGCAAAGCACGTGACTCGCTTTGAACGACGTGCAAAAGTTTCGGCGAGAACAAAAAAGTACCTGATGTCAAAAGGCCAAGCGTAAGAAAATCAAAAGAACACCCCAAGTTGATCTTTAAAGATCGCGACAAAACTAGATAGACTCAATGTATCCTTGAGATCTTTTTGTTGGTGAGGGTGTGGTAGTGACATTACAGTTGCTGAGACACGTGACCATCGTTTTCCACAAGTCATCACCCAGGCAGCGAAAGATACAGCTTGCTCAGAACTTCAACAAAAAGTGAGAACAATACTAAGTGAGGAAACATGCCCAGAATAACCTCTATAGAATGACTACGCAGGGTCTGCCTGGATTGGCTTATCGCAACGTGGCACGGCATAAGCTGTGGATTTTGCCAAGATAAAGCTTTGTGCAGGAGGAGGCTCTCAGTAAGCGAGAGTATGCCAGAGAGAACAATGATTCATGTATATGGTCTCAAAAAGCTTTATGCCTCATCAGAAGGCATGCGATGCCATGCGAGAACTGTAAATGCGCCCTTTCAACGTGATTGGGTACCGCCTGATTTTTACTTTCACAGGCTCACTTGTGGCTAGAGGGTTCCCAAAGTGGGAACAGACAGGCTCTCTCACAGTAAAGTTCAGAGTTAAAGCATCTAATGCGTGACGCTTCATGATTTGTTCTCCTGGCTTAAACATCCTTTGTGAGCTGGAGATGGCCTAACCATGAGAAAGGTAGCCAGTAGTATCTCAGAACTTTGAAACAGAGTGAAGCCGCAAGACAAGAGTCAAAACATAAATCCATTTGTATTTAATGCCATGTCATGCCCCGTGCAACAGCTGGATCCCTTCTCTTCTCTCATCATCTCCCGTCACGCCGTATCACGTTAACAAACTCGCCCAGCACACAGAAACACGAAGTTTACTTGATCATGGCAACGTCAATGTCTGCGAACTGGCGGGGCATTGATAATCAACTAGTCGCCGTCGAAATTCAGGGACCCGAAATCTTTTATGTCGACTTGACAAATATCGAGAAGTACCACCAGCTACACAGGCAGATAACTTGTCATGTACCATCATATATCTACGACCACGCTTACAATGTTTTGGGATATATCTTCTACCAGAGTCCCGGACTTCTTTACATAAACTTGCACACTGTGCCACAAGGTGCCGGACGCATATTGTGGGAATATCTAGTATTCGGAACGTTGGCTCTCCAGGGCAATCCCTTCGAGGGGAGGCGAGAAGAGTACTTCAAAAGTATCATCTATGTACACAATTTTGCAGAACAGTTTGGCATGGAGGACCTTAAGTCGGACTCCGCGAAGGAGATCTTCCGCGAGGCTCAAGACATGGGCCTGGTGGAACTACTCAAACTCCTTGAAGAAGTGAACTACCGGTCTAACTTGTTTCCAAAGTTTTCGGTGTACTTGGAAAAGCGACTAGTTAGTTCCGCTTTGGATCACGATGCGGAAGGCAGCCTGAGGGCTTTCGTCGAACTGAGAGATCAACCATCACTCTCAGTCGCTCAGATGCTTTTGAAAGCAATGGCAGAGGTTAGCAACATCGAGTGCAGGTCGGGCAAACAAGACTCCATGCGAGATGAAGCCTATAGAAAGAAGGTTGCTGAGACAACGGCTGTTTCCGAGGTCATTGGATCGGAAGAGTGCAAGTCTCCCAAAACAAGATGGATAAAACCGAGGAACGAGACCGCGCCAGTGAGTAACTCAGTTGGCAGTCAATTCTTCGGTCCCGTGGCCAAGCTGGAGGATAGAAGCGGCATGGCAAATCACTTGGAACAGCCATTGCAGAGAGCGGCCGTGCCCGACTCAAATTCCTACTCTCCAAGAGAGCCCGCGTTTCTTCTTCCCCGGATGTCCCTCCCTGCTTTGGCTCCTAGAGCTGAAAATAATGGAACCGAGATTCTCCCGCCATTCGGAGACACATCGAAGAATTCGAGAAGTAGAACCCCCCCTTACTGTCACAGGCTGTCACCGATGGAATATACACTCCCAACTGAGCCCACGCAGCTGCCTAGGCTACAACAAAAGAATCGACAGCGAATGGCCGAAATGGCCTTTGCTGACATGACGCGAACGGAACACAATCCAAGGAGAAAAAGTCTAGATCCCAATCCTTCAACTGCATCGGGCGAGCTTGAGTCAGAATCAGCTGCGGAAATCGACAACGATACTGCAGACGAGGCTGAAGAAGCTTGCGATCGGCCAGTGACACCAATCGGATCCCAGCTAAATTTTGCCGAGTGCATTCTGCCCTCATTTGACGAGCCTTGGCAATCGTCTACATCTTCTTCCGTTACCTTGGAAGGCGAGCCTGGTGAAGTCGAGGGGTCCATGGATTGGGATGCGGGTTCATCCGAATCCGACTACAATCCTTGAAATTTGGCAGGACTTTTGATCGGAAAGACGGATTATACAGATTGAGCTGCAGGTGGAATCAGAAGACATCATGGAACGGGGACTAAGATCTGGAGGTATCCCTTTAATCTAGCTACTATTTTCTGTAAGATTCACCCATGATTTATTCTGGGGACTCTCGTAACTGTCTTTATGTCGTAGTCTACCTATGGCAATAGTGGTGGATATGACTTGAAAAGAAAATACACAAAAGTATTTGGCAGAATGGACAACACCTGGACGTGATTGGAAGATGAGCAATGACGTTATACAGTGACTTAGAAAATTGAACCAGGCAGTAAAATATAAGCATCTTCAGAGATTCTGTGCCTTCAGGGG